TCCTCACAGATCATTCTTGGGAAATCGTTTGCGGGTCGCCAATCTCCATTCTGATATGTCCATATCGTGCATTAATATTGACGCCGATTTCTATTAACTTCAACGTCGCTGTGGGCCCAACGTCACTCGATGAACCCAAAGAGGAACTGGAATCTGAGATTCGTCTTTAGCGATGAAACAAGGTTTCCCCTCAGATTCTATGGACGGCAGCGCATGATCTGGGGGCGACGCATTTTGTCCCAATGTTGTATCATAGGAATGAGTCGACAGATTCAGGGGCGGAAGTTGCATGCGTAGGGTGGATTTCACCAGAATGACACCGCGTTCCCGACTCCTGGTCATCCGGTAGAAAACTCACAACAGCTGCAGCTTACTTCCTGACCAGATGTCACCCAATGAACTCGTTCAACTTTCAGCGGCACTGGCCCAGGTCCGTTGTGTCTGCGGCATTAGATAATGTTTCGGCGCATACCGTGATGTTGACACGAAATTTCCTTCAAAACGCTGGAATCTCACCGCGTCATGGACGGGCCATCGAGGTCCCTCGACCTTTAATCAATAGAGAGCACGTTTGGCATGCATTTGGGAGGGCTTCGTGGTCTTAAGAACTCAACCTCAGAATTTGCAGGAACTTGGCGCTGCTCTCGGTAAAAGTAATGGCGCAGAATCCCCAGAATCCCTAACAGCATTGGAGGGCAGGTCTATTAGGCTGACGATGTTTGGCAGTGGTGAATGAGTGCGGGGGCGGCCATACACTGATATTGAACTGAAATTTCGCGATTTTATTCTTGTGACTTTGCAGGCATTCTGTATACCACATGTTTTGGAACGTCGACGCTGTAGCCCTAATGGAACTGATTATGGCACTATCAGTATTATCGGTACATCACACAGATCTCAGCCTGATGAAACAATAACAATTTAACCATCTTGGCCTTCCCGTCTCGAACTGGTTTTTCGGTGCCCTGGAAGGAAGAATGTGAGAAGTTCACTTTTTTGACTCAGTATATATGGCTATATTTGGCGAGTTTCGAAAACTTGAATCAGGAAGTGTTTCCAGAAGCTGATAATGAAATATCATCAGCTCCTGCTGTAGTGTCGTGAGCCTGCCCAGGGGCGTGCGTAGTTCATGGAGAAAACGTTTCATTGTAATCATCCCATTACGCATTATCAGAGTTAAAATTGGGCGGAGTTTTCTTTTCCCTGTTGGGATTTTGCATTCGGTAATTTTGGTTACTAGTTTGACGAGGAGGCTTTGGTTTTGCCCAAGTTTCGCAAGTTCGTTTGTTGCTATTTCAACTTTTATTGGCGGTTTAAAGAAGTCCGCCATCTTGCGAGATAACGACACCAGGAATTTGGATCCTTTGCCTTAATCTTTTGAATCATGTTTCCACACCTTGGACATGGTGTGCGGGAAGTTGATTTTGGACACATATTTCCTCGATTGCGGCGTTTGGTTTACGTTTGAAAATGTATGCACAGCGTAAGTTTTAAACGTTTCAGGGTTATTTACATTAGCTTCCTAACGATATTTTCGCGCTGTACCTATTTTTCTAAGCTTGTTTGGTTGCGTATCGAAACTTCCTACGGCTTTACTGCATGGTTTACAAAGGGACTTAGCAGTCGACTAAAATGCCGTATGCAGTATATCAGAGAGCCTAGTTCCATGGGATCAGTCTATTCCTGAAGTTGTCCGGTATGAACTGGCGTCCAGTTTGGAATAGCCGGAACATCTAGCCGTAGTAAGTTCCAGTCTGTTGAAATCAGCCCATTCGCTGCAAGTATTCAACGAAGGTCGAATAGTTGAAGCAGTGCTCGCTTCCACAAAGGTCATCGTGGACTGACCATTCAAACCTGTTTGATTAGATTAGAATCCGTAAGTGATAGATCAAGTGCAGAAGGTATGACGTTCCAGTGGCGGGATGGAGATAAGTGTTTGATCCATCGTTGAAGATACATAGATCATTATTGCAGGAAAATCTTCAGAGACCTTTTCACTTATTATTTGTGTCAGTACTCCCCATAGGGTTATGGCCCGTCTGGTCCATGCCCATGTATCGAGTTGGGAGTTCTGAATATCTCATAGGTGGACAGTTGAGGAGGGAGGAAGATAGGAGGAGCATAGTGTAAAACCCTATGGCTATGTTCAGAGTCACGCGGACAGCAACTTGGTTTGTAGGTTGGTGTTATGCGGGAACAGGGCTATGGAAGATGCGCTGCCTCGCCACCAGGATAGGAAGTACTGCCTCCCTAGCGCTTAATTACACCGGGAGGAGAAAATGGAAATGGTAGGAACTGTACCGACGGATGTCAAATTCCCCATCTCAGTCCTTTTAAGGTACTAAGGTTTCTTTGGAGGCAAGAATCGCTGGATGGTTTGAAGTCTTGAATCAATAACTGTAATTCATTATAATTATTCTTAAGTCCTCTGCAATTCCGATTTGGATCATGTTTTCGTGGATTCATGGTGTTTCCACTGAGTGACATGTCACGTGAAACGTGAGAAAGCGTTTGATGAACTCCTATTGGTGTCTGGTCGAGATGGAGTTACCTCAATACCCAGAGGGCCAAAGGAGTTATGGACCTCAACGGGACCTCTTGAAGGAGAAGAAGCCTTTGGTTTTGTGTTTCCGGCAGTTGCACTCGGGTTGCTTTAATCCTCCTACCCTCTTTTCCTTTTTCCCTTTGTGTGTGCAGTTTCTGTTTCACTGGTTTTGGCATTTGTTCTGGTGTTTGTGATTCAGAAGTTTTTGACTTTGGCGCTGGACATGGAGGGCTGAGATGGGCTGAGCGGTGTGTTGAGTTGAGTTGGCTGAGAAGACAGCTTGACCCATGTCAGGTTAGGTTTGAGCACATGAGATAGTTTCTGAAGTAGTGATAGAAGGACGGGGAGACAGCAGAAGAGTAGGTGATGGTTGAAGGGGCTGCAGTTAAACTTGCAACCCTCTTCTTAGCTTCATGAAAGAGATATTTTCTTTGGTGCTTGATCTTTAGGATCTCGGATTCGCATACTTCGCCACACTGGACAAAAACTTGGAAAGAGGGCCATATGGTTACCACCGCAGTTTGTGCACTTCACTTACTTAGTGCACAGTCGTTTCCCCATGCTTGTCACCACAGCGGTAACAAACAGCAGAGGAACGACAGGACTTGGATCCATGTCCAAACCTTTGGCAGTTGTAGCACCGGAGTGGATTGGGGACATACACCACCACACACAAATGTTACAATAACCAGCTCTAATCGAGTCAGGAATCTTTGCTCGCGCGAACGTAAAGAGATAGGTGTTTGTTGGTTGAACAACACCGTCCTTTTAAAGTGAATCGTTTTACGGCTCGTAGACGGACTGCTGAGAGAGTTCCTCGACAGTTTGTCTTGTCAAGTCGCCATCAGACAGGCATCGAGCCTGTCCCGTACAATGCCTCTACACGAGTTAAAGTGTTTTGTGCGCTGAGACAGCGACCCTGATATTGACAAATTCCCCTGTATTTTGAGGAGATTCAAGGATTGTTGTTTCCGAGCACATTCTATCAGGAGAGAACCAGATCGGAGCTTTGTAACATTGGCAACATCTCCGCAGATACCAGCGGACATACCTTTGGAGATTGCAAATGGGTTCAACTGCAAAGGTTGCTTGTGCACAAGCTTCAATGATCAGGAAGCGTGGGCCAGTAGTCAGCAACCTGAAGGGCGTACTCTCGTCAGATGAGGAGTTGCACGGAATCCATGTGTTTTCGTTTTGAACCGGGGTGTTGGGAAGCCATGTAATGTAATGTGTTCGGATTCTGCTCTGCCGCCACACACCGTGGAGGTTAACAAGGACGATCTTATATTGCAGCGGATCTCCAAGAAGCTGCAAAGACCGGGGATAAGGGTGTTATACTCCGCGCGAATTTGATATGTAAAAATGCCAGTAGCTGCCTACCAGATTAAAGGGTCATCAGATGGTTCTGTCCATGATGACAATCAATCGAGACGTTACCCGAAATCGGAGGTCAGCATCACCAGATTGGCCCATGAGTCACCGTCTTCTATGCATGGGGTCTGCGAGGCTAATTTGTTTTGGTTGAATATAAGTTAACATTTTGAAGCATGGCCCGGAAGTGTTATGTCATACCAACTTTTGTATGTAGACATTCCATGCACACAGGGCAAGGCGTGGACTAGCCGAATGGTAGAAAACGGGCCTATTCCTACCACCCGTGTCCTAGGGCAAAGTTAGGGTCGAAGCGGTGTGTTGGATTATTGAACACTATTGCCGGTTCCGGTCATCCTCAACCAGCAGACTCCCTTCCACTGCCGACACAGGGATGCAACCCACGGCAAACGGTTGCCCAATTTGGTCGCCTCTTACGACCAGCAATGGGGGTGTTGTGGACCTATTCGACCCCGTGTCCACACGGGGCGAAGAGCCAATGAGGTTACCCAGCACCCATCACGAGGAGGTTGCTCTTCAAGGGTGCCAAATATACTAGAGCAAAGGATACTACTAACAACTACTCTAGCCTGTCAATATTTGAACATACAGGTTGAGCTTGACCAAACAAATACCCTGTATTTGAAAACGTTATTTACCTTTTTCAGATATACATAAAAGTCCCCGGAAGTTCTTCAAGAGTATCCTTGACCTGTCAGTTATCATAATTTCACTTATACATACCCTGCTTAAACAGGGATCCAGTGACTTCCCAGCAAGCATGGAACAGATTCTGTTTCACTTTCATTGAAAAACATAGACCCACATCTTCAGACTCTGCAGGCGTTTTGTTCAAGAAGATATCCACACTTTCGAAGAGAGCAAAGAGAAGTGGGCAAAGTCCGGCAATCAGAAACAGAACGAGGTACACGTTGGGTCTGAGTGGAAGTGACAAAAGATAAAGAGAGCTACTTCCTTTGTTTGTCATGCCTCTTATACACAACACCAATGTACTCCGTGCTGATTGGTGGATATATATAGTCTATGAGCTTTGAACGGCCTTCATTTATTGTCAAGTCACAAGCAGCAAGTGGTCCACTTCCTGCAAAAGCACAAACACAATTAGGCATTGTAATATATAGATCCTTTCTTTCACACATGTTCAGCCTGAGGCCTACTATTGGTAGTACAACCCAGAATGGTTAAATTGGTGCGTTACATAATGAATATACTAGGCTTTATCCCTACAAGTTCAGACAGATCAAGTCTGGCCAATATGACACATGACCAAGCTTCCATCTATACAAGTGTGGATACTTTCTTTCCTGCCTCTTACAACTAACAAAGAGGTGATTTATTTTGTTTAATCTGTCTTCAGACAACTAGAAACCAGTACTCCACCAAATGGTATAATATAGTCTGTATGTCCAAATTACCGTTCTGTTTAGCTGCCCCACAATTCCATCATAGGTGTTGTTGACAGGGAGTCCCTACCGACTGATCCTGTGGTTCTGTGATACTGTAACTGTAAATAGAACTGTTATAAATGGGGACTACACTACATGGTCCCGGCGGAAATAAACTCACCCTTTATTAGTGGGTGAACTATGAAATAAACTGTTGACAGAATGTATTATAACAGACAGATCCTCACCTGAAATTAAGAACATCGACGATAGTGTCTTAAGATATCTATTGCATATCCTGTGTACCGTGTCGTTCCATTTTTGACGGACTTCTAGCAATGTAGATCGTTGACTGTAACCGAAAACAGTGCAGCATAAAGTGTGTACATTTTGTCTGAAGTAAAAAGGCATTCTTGGCAGACAAGTTTGGCGCAATAACATTCCGTGTGAGGTAACATCAAAATGGAAAACATTTTCTCATTCAAATATCTAAGTAAAAGCTTATTATGATACATGGTGATCAATGTGTAAAGTGAGTCATTAATGCATGTTTGTCTATACATCGCTATAGAAAGAAACATAAAATATAATTTTGGTCATTAATGGACATTGTTACCCTCATCAAGAACTGTCACCAATAGATGTCGGTTGTTGTAACCATAGGCAACATTAGGAAAGTAGCATGACATGGTGGTTCCTGAAGTACAATCAGCCACTGGTACCAGCTCGGTTTTAGTAGAATGACGTCTTAAGGTGAAAACGTTGCGTATCCAACACTAGATACGATATTGTGAAAAAACACATACAAGTATAACATATATAGACGTTATTACACGAGCAAGTGTGTCATTCGAGTTATACGAAACGAGTATGACATTTTGTATACATACATCATTGTGAATGAGTTTCCGAAAAATTGAAACATCCAGAGTCTCCTTCAACAACGAAGGCAAAGTCAGTCCCATTAACCCACAGGGCGATCGTTTCACCTTTACTGACAATCCATATGAAATCCTAACGGCACAACACCTATCGATTAATCGGCAATGCGTAAGAGAATCGTGACTGTAAATGTGTGTGAACCTAGGAGGGCTATGGTGAAAGCCGTTTATCAGCGAACCCCATCAACACATTCCATCATAATCAGTACAACTTGTTGGATGTCATGATGTTGCAAAATCAAAATAGCAGGATGACACATTTCTGTTACATTGTTGCATACATATTCCCATGGTATCACGATGGTAACTATGTCATTGCTAAAGTGAAAGGACCTTGACTGACCCATAAGGCAAAAGGATCATGCTTACAACCAACAGAAAATCGTAACAGATCTAATAATAACTGCCTGCTTAGATACACACCTTTAAGGTGATGAAGTACAACCACATTTTCCAAGTACAGGGTCTGCAGCTCAGGGACATTGGTTCCTTGATGAAGAAGCAGCCACTTGGAATGATGTCGAAAATCGGTCATCCCCTTTGTCTTTGCATCAAAAGTATCTACCTACAAGACAGAGTCAGGTAATTTTTCAATGACATGATACATGGCAATGTAGGTTTGCATGAATGAAGTGCATATATACTAGCGGGATAAAAGTAACATAACATAAAATTGCATAAAATAAAAAAGTTATTTCAAAATAACCCATATCAAACATATGGCAAAGCATGTCATGTATCGCGCGTGGACATGCACAATGAACCTACTCCCTTTTTTCAAGCTTTTGGGTACCTGAAGGTCAGACACCTTATATTGAAAATTGAAGAACGACTGACTTTTCTTTATCCTCTGATTTTTGTGGAAATCACGTCAATTTCAACCCTAATCTGAGCTGCATGCGCCATGCCACGGCTTACAGAAAATCAGCGCATCAGCGCCTTGGGTATGCTAGAGACTGGAATGGTCCAAAATGAAGTTGCCAGACAGTGTCCATCAAAACGCAATTTCATCTCCACTGAGACGTTTTCAACATGATGGGAATACGAGATTTGCCTCGACCTGCCGTCCACGCGTGACGTCACGTCTGCAAAACAACCACACTCGGCTAACCAATCTAAGGAATCGATTTCCGACTGCCAGTTTGACTGCTCGGACTATTCCTTGGCATTCGTCCAGTCAGTTCCAGGACTGTACGGAACCGACTGAGGAAGCACAGCATCCGGTCCCGGCGGCCTGCAACGTCACCGACAGGCACGCCTTGTCTGATACAGGCGGTATACGGCACAGGAGACAGGATTGAAATGGTGTTTTGTTCATCAAGAGAAAGGGTAAATACTCACCATCGTGATTAAGCTCGGTCATATGCCCTTGACTCTCAGAAGCAACCACATGTATGTCAGGGAAGAGAGCCTCGTGGATTGTCTGTAAAGTATTATTTGCGTCCACGACACTGAGGTCAAACACAAGAAACTGAGGACTGTAGTTGGTGAATGACTGGCCAGGTACTTGAACAGTCTTCCTGCAAATGATTGACAAAACGTACACAGTATATCTATGTTGATTTGGTACGTTCGTTGATAGTGCAAACGAATGTTCTAATTATTTGATTGTTGTTTTAATGACATGTTTTCATTTCATGTTATGTAATCTCATTGTTGGTCGTTCACGAAACTGGAAACAGACGATTAATACATCCTTTGATTGAAATGCATTCGAAATGCATTAGTCAAGTACATTTGTACTTTGGTGTGCCCAGATAAACAGTTACGAGGAACCCCAGGTTTTTACACTGACTGACTGACTGAGTTTTGGTTTTACGCCTCTTTTAGCAATATTCCAGCAACATCACGGCGGGGGACACCAGAAATGGGCTTCACACATTGTACCCATGTGGGGATTCGAACCCGGGTCCTCGGCGTGACGAGCCAACGCTTTAACCACTAGGCTACCCCACCGCCCCCCGGGTTTTTACAAGGCGACTTAATTACCGTTCTTTCCATGAAGTAAAATAGCAACTTTTTTCCACTGAAGTCTTTGCAGGAAATGATGAAAGGGTTCACCGTTCTCTGGAGTCATAATTGTTGAAAGACCTGAGACAATGAGAGATTCAGCAGTTAATTTTGAGGTATCTATGTAGCATATCTTACTGCATATGTTCTGCTATTATGATCACAACGAACTTTATACAGTCAAGTTCTTACTGATCATTTAGGTACTTTAATCATACACTCAGTTTTCCAACATTAATTGTAGAAACATCTGACGGTCGACTCGTTTCATTCCAAGATTGACCGTGTCGGGGTCTGCCACAATCTACATTTGCCTTTTATCTTGTTAACATATATTTTCTGTAATCGCCCACGTGAGCGGTGATTACTAACACTTGTAATCACCACAGGTTCATGAACAGTATTTAAAATGTCCTCATTGTGACGATGTTCTTCATTTGGTGAGTTCGTGCATTACTGACTATATTGTGATGATGCTAACTGAATCAATTATCAAAGATTGTGGTACAGACGTTTTTGGTTATTCATACACTCCTGTTAGGCTATGGTCCCTAAGTATGGTGATCTACCTTCAGTTGTTGGCGATCTATAGCCTATTTTATATTATGTGTTGTCCAAATTGTGCTATTAGTTTTAACTTCACATGCTAGTTTTAAATTCGAACTGTGACAGTCTAGTTGTTTTACTGTCCTTTGACGACAGGGTTTTATAATATATACATATTTTCCATATATTCGTCAAATTTGTTCTTGTGACGATATGACTGAAACATTGCTGATGTGACGTTAAGTTACCACACCTCACTCACTCCTGTGAGGACAACCCTATTCTGTGATAAGCTGGTTGTTTTTAGGCAAATGGATACTCAAGTCTACCGTCCTACTCATACTTCCTAAACTGTGTTGAATTCTCCATCATAAGGGATAGATATTTCAATGTGAAAACAGTTAAGGATATTTTACAAATGTTAATTTTCATTTAATTATTGGTTTATTTGATGGATTTTGATTAATGTGTTTTGTAAATAGATATATTTTAAAAGATTGGTAGTTTAGATTAGTAACTTAGATTATTAGTGGCTGTACCCTCAAAGGGGTTAAAGTATTGTAAAATTATTGTCCTCCTGAGAGGGTGCAGTAAGTCCCAAAACTTTCAAAGTAAAATATATGTTTACCACATTTATTTTAACTGTTGGCTAACTTTTCCTACAATCGCCAGCGGCTGGAAGGAATGGTGTAAATCTAGCTGGGGTCCATGCAGGTAGCAAAAGTAATGTAAGTCCCCAAGGTTCCCAGTATGGTGATCTTCCTTCAGTTGTTGGCGATCTGTAGCCCGTTTTTTACTGCTTCATCATGCTTCTTTAAATGGAATGTTTTAGCTTTGCTCGCTAGTTTTATAATCATATCTGTGATTCTCTAATATTTTCACAGTCCATCGTCGACAGATGTTAATCTTCCGAATGTTTTCACATTTTATTGTATTAATTGTTTTCTTCGCGATATATCTGAGGTATTGCCGATGTGACGTTAAATGTTAACTCACTCACTCACTCATTCTACCTAAACATGAAATCGAAGGTTAAAATTGAAAGCATATGGATGCATGACCCGTTTTCATCACTTTCGTGAAGTATCACCCCTCTGTCAGACCACAAAGACCCGACTTTCTGTCCATCATTGTCCAATCACATCCATGAATGAGAACCGTGTACCAGTTACTGTGGCAACTCAGCCAACTCAAC